GTTGTTTTTTTTTAAATATATACAATTTTTTTTATTTTTTTTTGTTTTAAATTTTTTTTTTTTGTTTTTCTTTTTACGCACAACATAGAATTTTCGAATTCTGGTCATATTTATATAAGATGTGAAATTATGTGCAATTTATTTTCCTCTATATGCGTGTTTTATGAAATATTACTAGCAATCTCCTAATAATTAGTACAATAAAAAGCGTTATTATTATTATTATTATTGCGCATTTATATATTAGTAACAATCAAGAAATAAAACTTGATAATTAAAATTTTACGTTATTAAACGTATGTAAACACACTCTAAACACAATACTGTAACTCAAGGGTTTGTCTACTTTACAGGTTTTTACTGGTTTAGCATATTCTTTAATTTGCACATGCAAATATTAACGCGTAATTTTAATTAAATTTACTTTATTTAAATAACGTACATATGGTCAGTGCTTTATATTAATCGTGCAAGATTTTTTTTTTTTCTTAATTATCGTGGGGTGACTTGATTTTTAAGGAGTTTATATTATATTGTATCACAAAATTTGCCAATTCATTGTGGGGGGAAAAAAATTTACCCGAATGTTTGTTATATCTACTACTGCATAATCGGCCAAATTTATTTATAGCCAATTGTAGTTATAAATTCCTGCAATTACGGATTAACTTTTTTTCAATTGATTGTAAGGTTTATTACGTAATCACATTATACTTTGGGGTAAAATATTGGGGACGTTAGTATTATATTTGGCATTGTACTTTGTTCATTTCAGAGTAGCCATTATTGTATAGAAGTTGGGGAAGAGTTAGCCAATGAGGTAGTTTTGGGTAGATGAAAAAATGAAAAATATATAAACTAATGAGGTTTGTGCGACCTAATATAGCCTTAGGGTGAAATAATTGGATAAATTGGATAGGCGCTAATTTAGGTAATCGTAGTAGTAATTTATAGCTGAGACATTAAACCTTATTAGGAGTTTGTAGTTTACTTGTTATAAGTATATGTATTTATTATATATAAATTAATAAAATTTTTAATAGTTTATTTCGTAAAAAAAAATATATGTCTAACCGATAAGCGATAAGAATTTCGGAGTTTATAAAATATGTATCCCAAATTTGCCAATTTATTTCATGTCATTGTAAAAAAAAAATTAAATGTTTGCATAATTAACAAAATTTAATGATTATCAATTGAAGCTGTAAATTCCTGAAAATTACGGGAAAATAATTAATTGATTATAGGGTTTAACCAAAATTGTCTAATAAAATACAAAACATGGAAAATGATTTTTTTTTCAATTTTTTGTGGGGCGATTTGATTTTAAGGAGTTTATAGTACGTTGTATCACAAAATTTGCCAATTTATTTATGTCCATTTTAAAAAGAAAAAAATTTTTTTTACAATATCTAATGATTACATTTGAGGCTGTAAATTCTTGTAATTACGAAAACGCAAAGTTTTTAATTGAGTGATAATGTGATATAGGATTTAATATATTCTAACCAAAATTGTCTAATCAAATAAGACATTTTAATTAGTAAATTTTCTATTATAAAATTAGCAAAAGAAGCTCTCTCTCAATTGACATAACTTTTAATTATAATAATTATAATGTTGTACTATTTTCAGTAATTCTTCCGGATGTGACGAATTCGCAAAATGGAAAAAACTGATTTATAAAGAAACTGGGGTAATTATTTGAGATTAATAACTGCAAATAATAAATAAGGTATTAGTCACACGATAAATCATGTTGATAATCATGTTTGATATAGTTGGCGCGACATGGCGCGTGCGTATAGGATAAAGTTGAACTCAATTAGTACTGTGCAACTATACCAATATTGTTTGATTTGTACTCAATTATGACTCATTGATTATGATTGTGTCTAACAAACTTTTGATCGATTTAGTTAAATTTACGAGTCTTTACAGGAAATACGGAAACGTGGTATAAACATCCACATAAATATTTTTCAAGAACAATCAAACATAAATATATATTATCTTTATCTTTGTCAAATTAATCTTGTTTTTGAATTCATCTAGAGCGTAGATTCTATGAATCGATTTATACATATAGCCCACATAAAAAAATTAGAAATACTGAAATTGCGCCTAAAATTTCCTTAAATATTTTTTTTTATACATTTTATGCATATAACAATACATCTTATTCTGGGAAGTGGGAACATAATTTTTCTCATGAAAAAAAAATAAAATAAAAATTCTTTAATAATATATAATCGAATACTTTGCTTTATGACACACGTGATGTAATTTATAAATACTAAAACTTTTTTAAAAAACATCTTTAATATTAAAAAAAATACTCGGGATACGGGTTATATAATAATGTATAATAATAATGTGAACCCGAGAATTATAATTATTATTTATATTTTCAAATTTAAATATTTGTTAGAAAATCAACCATTCCCCCAAAAAACAATGTGACACAATAATTTTTTTAAATCAATACCCGTAACTGCGCGGGCGCAGATTTCGGATTTAGCCAAATATTATTGTATTTGTTTGTTTTCAGTTAAGATTGTTAAACAAACTAATAGGGAAATTTGAATGGATTGTAAATCATTTGAAAATAAAAAACATATAGGATTGCTAATGATCATCGGTAGTGATCTGCTTGAATAATAAATTTTTACTGATGAAAATTTTTATATTTTTTTTGTCAATTATATTATAGCCTAGATAAACAATTTTAAAAATAATCAATACTATCAATACTGATGAGATGATCATCACAGGCTTCCTTAAAAGTATTGTTGATCAATTAAATGATATTTTTTTATTTTTCTTGAAAAAAAGAGAAATAATTTTTGTTTATTTTTATATACATATATATATAATATATTAATTATGTCAAAAAAATCAAAAAATATAAGCAGACGATAGGAGTCGGTGCATTTAGAAAAGTCGTTTGGGCTAATTATAAAAATAATATAATTATTATTAAAGAAATTATTAATGAAGTAGAAATATTATTTTATTTTATTTTGATTATTTTTCGGAGTTTTGCTTAACTTGCCCCGGTTTAAATAGTCTGGGTTAGATCACCCCCTTAAAATTTATATTTTACACCAATCATGTTTTTTTTAAAAAAAAAAATTGTGTTTAGATTTTATTTATTTGGACATTGTAGAGCACAATGACCAGGTTTTTTTACATTGTTGACAATGTCTCTTGTTTTTGATTGTAATCTGTTTTTTTTTGAAAATTTGGACAAAATTATATAATTATATAAAATTTACTAGCAGCCTGAGTTAAAATTAGTCTTGAAAAAAAATTATAAAATAATGATTTTTATGTATTAGTTAACATTATTACGGAAATTTCATCATCATGATAATATTATTCGAATTCATGGCATAACAAAGGAAGTAAAGAAACAGGTAAGATTTTTTTTTTTAATTCCCATTGTAATTACTTAAAATACGTCAAGTGACGTTACACACGCGATTCATGCATAACTTTGCCAACAAACATAACTCTAATCACCTGATCATCCTATCATTTTCTTTTAATTAGAGATAGACGGGTACCATTTAGTTTTGGAAATGCTTATAGAGGACACTAAATACTTCCAATTGACTAGTGCTGTAGCGTGCAATCGTTACATGAAGAAGATATTATTCATCGTGATCTGGTAAACTCTTTGTATGTAATCATAATTTTTTTGAAAAAGATTTTTTTTTTTCGTGAGTAACGCATTTCTTTATTGATTTAATATATACAATTAAGTAAAACGTATTACAGTCAATAGTTTTTGAAAAAAGAAGTTATTTTTTTTAATATATTAGCATGCAGATAACATACTCGTATATCAGAGAGAATTAAGTTGGTTGATCGTGGTTTTTCAAGAAAAATAGCTGAAGCATCGAATAATGCGTCAAAAGTATTCGGTGTAATACCTTATATCGTTATTAGAGGTGCAAACTTTGCCGACGTAACTGCCATAACAAAGTTACGTCAATAACGTCACTGCAGATGCTCACATAGAAATTTATAAAATATCGAGCTACGTCACGAGTTACAACAACAAATTGAAAATTACAAAGTCAGATGTATATAGTATTGGAGTTATTATGCAAATTTCAAGTTGGGCTTAAGCCATTTTGTTCTGATGATTATGATACAAGTTTAGAATTAGCCATACAATAAGGAAAAAACATTGATGGAACTTCTATGATTCATTATAGAAAATTTTATACAAGTAATAATAAAAGTTTTATAAAAAGAGTAATGAATTTTTTAATTTATTTTTTGCTAATTTACTTCTTTAATTAGAATGTTGAGAATATGGACCAGATAAACGTCCAGATATTCTTCAACTCTCAAATCTATTATCGAACGTAAAGAAGTTCGTACGCTAATCGTTTATGACACTATTACTTTTTAAAAAAATAGATTTTCTTATTAAAGTTAATAAAAGTATTCATATTCTGTTCAATCAATTGCGTCTGATAGTAGTTCATTAAGTATTTGTGTTTCAAATCCAACGACCAATATATTTAACTCAATACCTCATACCTGTCATTGCCGCCCAATAGGATCATGCAGATTTTCATAGACCGATATTTTAGCAATAACACATGATTGATATAATAAAGTGGAGTAATAAAATGGCATAAATGAATATTTTGTAGGAAAAGTTTAAATAAAGCTTATAAAGTGGATTAAAAATGAAATTTATAGAAAGATTTTTGTATGATGTTATTAATTAATGCATGATCAAAACCGCCAGAACGGTAACATACTTATTGGATGTGGGGTTATATTGGTCACAGGGATTGGTGGAAATGGCCACTACGTGGCCCATTTCCATCCAATCATTCGGTCCTGTGACCGATATTGCTACTCCCCCATCCAAATAACTATTTAATATGGAACGAAAAAAAATCATACTACCGCTTTTAATTTATATCAAAAAATCTGTGAAAGTATTTTTGGACAATTTTATTTAAGGTATTGTTATGAATTTACTAGAGTCTAGAAAGGATGAAAACCAATCTGTTTATTGGCATCAACAAGCGGCCGATAATAAGAATACGAGTGCAAACATTTATCTTGCAAAATGTTATAGGTTAGGTAAAGGTGTCGAAAAAAATGAATTTAAAAGCATTTAAATTGTTATAAAACATTGGCAGAAAAAGAAATAGATGAAACTAAATAAAGCATTTGAATGTTATAAAAAATCGGCAAAACATTTTGATGATGAAAAAAATGGTAAATTACCTGGATGATCTTAAGCATTAGTATAAACAAACGGCAGAAAATGATAATAAAGCACTATATAAATTAGGTGAAAGGTGAAGGTGTTTATGCCGATGAATTATTAAAAGCGAATAGATAGAAAGTGCCGTAACATAGAGGCCACCCCTTTGATACGTCACGACTGTCACGTGATCAGCAATTTAACATTTATCTTTAAAAAAAATTTTTTTCTTAAAAAGATATTGTATAATAAGTGCTTTTACACTCTATTACAAAGAAAAACGACGGTAATTCATATTATTATAAATATTAAAGCTATTTTAATAAAAGTTAATATTTGGATGGTTCCCATACCTGCTGAACAAGCTTTGTAAGCCTATAATTTAGCAAAAGCGCTAAAATCACGCTGTAAAATTGAAAAATAAATGTATTCATTGAAAAAAAAAAAGTATAAAAAGTATCCATTTTTTCACAGTATGTTTCATTTTTATTTATTTATTTTATTATTTATTTATTATACGATATACGACCTGTACTGAATTTGAAACTATAATAGTTATTAAAGTACTGTACCGTGTATAACCTTTCTATTGAACAAAGTAGGAATTAGAATAATTACCTGATGACTTATACCTATCTAAAAATCTATATATACTATCTACATTTGTGAACCCAATTTACTTTTTTCCTTCTAAACTTGTATTTATTTATTTTTGCCCGTCTTGATACGTTTTTGCTCGAGTGTTTTTGTCTTCGTCATTTTCATCTTTTTTTCGGAAGCCTTGTCGAACAAATCGTATTCATTTCTACATACTCCTTTAATTCTTCCTCCTCGCTTTTGGTCTAAATTTTACTTTCGATTATCATCCCATAATTAAATATCCTCATTTGTCGAATCTTTTTATTACCTTCTTCCAAGTTATTACTCTTTTTCTCTTCCTAAAATCATTAACTACTTGTGCTACATATATTCATCCAACTTCTTTTGTGACCTCAAGTCTTGCTTTATAAAACTAATCACAATTTTCCACACTTAAGTTCTTTAAGAATTTTTTAACTTATCATCATTTAATAAGAAAAAGAGTTTGCTGGGAGAAATAATTGGGTAATCAACAATGATTCTGTGTATGTCATAAGGAAGATGACACTTTATCTAACGTACACACTATAATTAATATAAATGTACGTAAAATATGCGACTTTATGTTACCAATCTAGGTTACTCACTTTCTATATAAATAATTTTATTAGAAGAAAATGCAAGCCTCGAGTATTAATAATAAGCAAAATCTTAATTGATCAATCTGAAATGAACGGTAGTTCGATCACGTATTCGATGAGTTACATTATTCTTCAATAGAAAGGTGTTACGCTAAAATATATTTTTTCGATGGAATATTATTTTTAAAAAAAATATTCAATAGAAATTATAGAAACTGAAATTATTTTATTTTCCAATTTCGTAAAAAAGCGAAAATCTTAAATAAAATGTTACTAATAAAAATTATATTGTACTTTCAAAAATATTATACAAGCTAATTACATATTTAATTGAATAATAATACAGGTAAATGAAGCGAAAGAAAATATATATAAAAAAAAAAGAAAATTACGCCACCATCGCCATATTCTGTTGTTGATTTTGATCTCTTTGAGGTTTAACCCAACCGGGTAACAACCAACGTCTAGAATAATAAACTTCAGCAGCACCAGTAATTCTAGAAGATTTACACATATGAGGTAAAATACATACTGTTAAAGGAAAGAAACTAAACACCAAAAGCAAAAGATATTTAATAAAATAATAAATCATTGATAACGGTTTTCTTCCCAAAAAATAAATAGCACAATTTAATGTATATTCATTAAAACAAAATTCTTTTGTTTTTTGACAAAAATTAGTGTGAGGAGCCGTAAAAGGACCTCCTTGAGTTTCTGATATACGAGTTAAAAGTGGAAGCGCCATACGACGAGTTATTTGCGGGACTGTATCGTTATGAAAATGTTTAGGATTTGAACTAAACGTTGTCGTTAATAGTTCAACTCTCGCCAAGGTTCTTTAAATAATAAAAAAATTAATTAGTTGATTAATTAAATTTGTTGATAATTAATGATGATATATTATATTACATGGTATTAACCTAATACCACGTATTTGATTTTTTATATTACCTCCAAGAAATAACGGTTCCAATACAAACTATAAATCCTAAAGGCGGGAAAACTAACGTAATTATACTTAATAGACATGTAATCAATACCCATATAAAACATAATATAGTCCATATTGGATTCCAAATTAATATGTAAAATATTCCTGCCCACGCTTGTATATTAAGCGCTTCTAGTCGTAAACTTTTATTATTATTATCATTATCAATTTGATTTTGTTCAAGAATTTCAGCAATATTAGACATCTTTATAAGTAGTATTATCGATAAAAATTATATCGAGAGGAGAAAAAAAAATATTTTTTTTTTTTTATTTTTTTAAAAAAAAAACCAGTATATATATATATATACATAGTTTGAAGATCCATTTTGTATTTTCAGCCATTGTTTCTACATTTTTATCAATATCATTTGCAAATGATGCCTACTTGTGTAACCTTTTTTTTATACAACCGAAAAAGGTAAAGTTATTATGTTCTCACAATGAACTTTGGCATAAACAAAAAAAAAAAATAAATTTTACATTTTTATTTTTAATATATAGAAAGACAAGTCCGCGGAGCAAATCCGGCATACATACATTTATTAAGTTATTTACAATCGGAATATTATACTAATTTTCGCCTCTAGTTCCATTGATTCTGGCTGGTGAGCCGGGTCCGATTGATCAACATCTGCCGTCATTAACATGGAATCCGAGCAGGGAACCTTTAGGCGAAAATTAGTATAGCCCTTTACACAAATTTACACAAATGTAATACCAAAATCATGTGAAAGTTTAAGTATCAGGATTTTCGGATTTATCCCCGAATCACGTTTCTGTACGTGAATCAATTTATAGATAATTATTATATCAGTTAACAATATATGCTAATTTTACTAACCTATGAAGAAGCATCATCAGAGCCATTATTTCTTTATCACTTTCCATTAGATTTCAATCCTCTCGGCTCTATAATAAGAGAGGGTGCTGTCACTAGAAGCCGTTGAAGCCCGTCTGATGACCTAATTGGGATCAAATTCAAATAGTGGAAAGAATATGAACGTCTAAATTAGTAAATATTAAACGTATATAAATTATTTAAATAAAGTTTTATTTAGTATATTGCGTAAAGCCTTCTTTCTATTATATATTAAACTTGGGAATATTTATAGTCATAAAATTTAAGTTAATGTTGATAAAGAAAAGGCGGTTCATTTGTATAAAATAGCCGCAGAAAGAGAATATGTTGCATTTTCCTTGCATTTTATGAGCAATTGTAGAAATATAATGAAAAAGCTATAAAAAGGTCTTTCTCCACTTAAATATACTTTAAAAGTAAAACCTTGTTAGGTACAAATTAAATAAAAACATATAAGAACTATATTCGCATCATTTACCACATGACTCACGTGACTTCAGCCCAAAATTTTAATAGAAAAATATTGCCTCCGAAATTTTTTCACTTATTGCCGAATAATGAATGTATCGAGATTTACTAGATTTATAGCAAACTTTATTTTTTTAGTTGCATGAATTAATCAAATGAACGTTTCATATTTTGATTTCGAATTTCTTTAACAATCCGCTTCTATAAGATGTTTTCGACGATATGAAATTAAAAAAGATACAAGTTTATAAATAATTACAAGGATATGGAGAACACTATTCATAATTTAACCTTTACTCATACATTACTATGATCAATCTTTGCTCCAATATATTGAACAGCAATATTTAAGCTTTCTAAGACACGTTCATCGTCAATATCTTGATAATTGGACGTCATTTATAATATGTGCAGTTTCAAGATTAATAATCCGATTGATTAACTTTAAGCGTTATAAGTTATAATTTAAAAATAAAATAAAAAACAGAAAAATCATTCATATCGTTTTATCTGTTCTTTTATAAACCATACAATTGAATTTATGAATTCTGTCATTTTTTTTTTATATACAATAAGTATAACGTTAAACTTTTTTTTGTTTATAAGTTTAGATAATCAATATAATTTTATCTATTATGTTATGAGAAACATACAATATATATACTAAAAAGTACAACATGATGATGTTGCAACAACATGATAACGCAGTATAATTTTGCCCCAACATGATATTACAGGCACAATCCCACCAAGTTACCATATATTCTGATTTCTGAAGTCTATTATTAATTTATAGAGTAGTACATACCACCTGGTATATACAAAATAAAATTTTTTACACAAAAATGAATATTTGTTGCTAGTTATAAAAGAAACTTCTCATATCAATATTTTATCATATTCTAAAATATTTAATAGTTACCTATAACGATAATATCTTTGTTAAATCAAGCTCCAGAACATATTGCCTGAGACGATCATTCAATGATGGTAAATTCTTACTATTTTTAATAATTGCCTTTTCTTGTTTTGGTACAACAAAATAAAGTTCAATTATTGACTTATCTGATTTGTCAATAAATTTGTCAATTAATTTTTCCAATTCCAGATCTTCCAATTCCAGATCTTTCATATCATCATTATATTTTTTGTAAGCAGAAAATATAAAAAACATGTTTGGAGAAACTATTGCATTGATGTCACATATAAAATTCTTTTTACTTGGTATACAGTACTTGTCAGGTTCAATATCATCAATATCACTAATTATCAGCTTTTCTCTCTTAGACATTGTAAGTTTAGAATTATCTATTGATTCGAATAAAGGATGAATCTCAAATGACCCTCCATTTGACAAGGTACGATGAGCAATATATTCAAATACTGCTCTATGGAGACCAAAATAATTCCCTACTATCAACTTATCCTTTTCATAGATTTCTAGCTTATTTACAAACTTTTCAGAAACGTATGCAGAGGCAAATTGTAAAATCAAATCATTTCTTTCATTTGTGAAGATATGTGCAAGCATGTATCTAATATCTTTTTCAACATATATTTCCCCATAATACCCCAATAAATTATGATCAACAATATCAATTGCTCTCTGAAGAAGTTTTTGTTTACTTTTATTGAGAGCATAATTCAATGTAAATAAAGGAATTCCACCCCATTTCATGTATAATTCCCAAACTTCTTCTTGGCTAAGATGATGAAAATTTGCATGTCTGCATATATTGATCTCTTCCCAAGACCATACTGACATATATTGTTTATGACTTGTATAATCCTTTTCATATTGTTTGTAGTAAGGTCTATAGGGTGAAGTGATAAGGATCGTCTTTAAAGTACAAAGTCGGAATGATGGTATTTTGTTATCTACAACATAATAAGTATCTGGAGTGTTAAAATATTCAAGGAAATAGCGTTCTAAAATATTATAATTATAATATAAGGTGTAATTTTTGCTAAATAAAACGATGCATTCATTATCTTTACTATCATATATAACGATTTTATTTTGCTGTGCAAGTCGATAAAGTAAATAATAACTAAAATAGGTTAACCCAACCCCTGGATTGCCAACAATATGCCAATAATTTCTAGTTTCATGATTAAGAATGCTATCAGCAAGGTGGTGATAGCAATCACGAATTAATAAAAATTGTTCTTCATTATCATTACCTAAAAGATAGGAAACATCCTTAGAAAGGGAAATGAATTGATAATAAGAATGGTCCTTAGGCATCTTGATGTTAATAACTTTCCCATTTCTCAAAAAATCCCAAGATTTTCCAAGATTTTTATCTACATACACATTAGAAATTATTATTAGAAATTATAGTATATATAAATAAAATAAACGCACGTGTCTAAATTTTTTACTCACCAATACCTATGGGAAGATCAACAATAATATGAATGAAATCTTTACAATAAAGCATATCATCAGAGAAATAATAATCAATATACTTGCTTGTTATTTCTTCACCACCTAATATTTCTTTAATGGACAATGTATGATTCTTGAGTTGCTCAAACTTCTTTTTTTCATTGATAGAGATATTAACTTTCCATAATTTAAGAAATCTAGGATCAGTGATAAATTCTTCAATGTCTAGGTCTATATCGTCTATAAATTTTTTTGGTATTTTCTTTATGATAATCTCCTTTAAATAATAAACGGTATCAATCTTTCCAATTTCAATTTCAAAAGCATCTTCAGGAAGTTTTTCACGAATAAGACAAGTAAGTTTGATATCTGCCATAGTATGTTTGTAAAATTTGGCTATTAACTACGGTTTGTTTTTATTTCTCTATTTATATTTATATTTATATTTTTTTTTTTTAAAGTTGAATAATGTTGACTAACAATAACGTGGATTTGTTTGAACATCTGTCATTTCGTCATTAGCCGAGCATTGCAGTCATGTGAATTAAATCAGATAATCAGTTGTACGACTCACAATCAAAATTGAATCAAATAATCAGTTGTACGACTCACAATCAAAATTGGTTCATTTAAAAGATTTTAACGTCGTAACTACCATTAAAGATTATCTTCTGGAGTTGAATTTACGCTTTTAATCTTACCTTTCATCTTGATTTTTTCCTTATGTACTGTACTCAACTACAATAATATTAGTAATACAGTTAACTCTTTATAAATGAACACTGGATTATAGAGAGTTGACTGTATATATACAGAATATTACATGCATAAGAGAAATGTCATAAATCATAATATATCAAACAAACAAGGTCGAAATGACTATGGTTAGGATTAGAGTTTGGAACCGGTATTGGACATCGGATTTATAACGGTTTAATTATAACCAGTGTTTGATCCAAAAATCTTTTTTATTAAAACCAGTTCAAAACCAATTAACCGGTTAAATTAAACCGGTTCAAACCGATTAATCGAAAAAATTTTTCATTCATATTTCATATGAGCGAATTTGACGTTAATTTTGGCCTTCACATGACATAATTTTCATGATTTTGAAGTTGCCAGTTTATTTTTATTTAAATTCATAAGTGTTGAATATTTAAATTATTTTTAATTTACAAATTTCTATTTAACAAATAAAGATAAAACAACAAAAAATAAATAAAAATAAATAACACTTTATTGAGTAATACAGTATAAAAAAAAACAATGAATTTTAATTATTTTTATTTAATTTATTTTAATACACAAATTCCGAGACAAAGAAATGATACGCGAGAATTTTTCTAAAAAAATAAAACAAAACATACTTTGCAGAAACCTCTGGTTTTCATAAAATATGTTAGCGATATTTTTAAAATATACCAGACATATGATATTCCTATTTATGTTATCTCTGTTTTAACTATATGCTGACAATATGTTGAACATATAATATAAAAATCTTATTTTTATATAGTAACTATATGTTAGAGACATGGTAAAATATTATTTTGTATGTTAAATTTATATGGTTATTATATGCCAAATATGTGTCAGAGATATGATAAAAATATTATTTGAAATATTAATTTTATATAGCCATCATATGGTAAATATGTATCAATAATATAATAGAAATTCAATTTTATATAACAATCATATATTGAAAATATATCGAAGACAGAGTAATAATAATAAAATAATATAATAGCCATGTATCAAAAATAATAAAATAATATAATGATTGTATGATAAAAATTTCGATTTAAATTAAAATTTCCTCCAATAAATTCATGTACGACTTGATTTTTGAAAGAATTTCTCTAGTGTAATATAATAACATAATGTTAGCAATATAGTTATCTAGCTGATTAAACTGCAGTGTAATAAAAACTATTTAAAACATAACTTCAATTAGCCTCATCATGCTTGGTGCTACATGTACTTTTATATTCGTGAATAAAGTGAATTTGAGACATGTGATCAATAAAATTGATTGGAAAGATTCAAAACTAACGTGATTCTTCCAGCTTCTGAATATTATAAAGTGGACATCTTGATATGAAATTAACATAGTTCGTCACCTGAAATTAAATAAAAAATAGTGTAAAATTTGACCATTGTTTGCTTTATGCTAAATAATAAATTCAATTTTAGCATATGCGACACCTTTAGATTCTTCATTTAGATCTACAAAATCGCCAATATGAAGTTTTAATCATACAGGTTCTTGATTGTCTTTAATAACCATGTATGAAATTGAACTATAAAATTCTATGTTTTTGTTCAATATTGCTGCACTTTAATTTAAATAATCTGCATAAGCTCTATAGAGATTTCGATAAAATGGATGATTATCAGCCAACTTTTTTGATACGTCTTTACACTTAACTTTTTTGGCACTCCATTGATCTTTAATAGCCACCTCTATTTCCAGAAAGAATTGGCAAAACCTAAAAGAGAAAAACCAAAGAATAAACTGTTAATAAGTTGTTAAAATAAAATTATTAAGAAAAAAAATTAAAATTACTTACCAAAATTTCATATCCAAAGATTTGAGAGAACGCCTTAAAAAACATAAAATGAACTGTTAGAAACCATTTGTTAAAAGGCGAAAAAAAATTTGAAAAGTGAAAACATATACTTACCAAAATCCAATATCTTAAGAAATCTGAAAAACTGTCTAAAAAAAAAAAAGAAATGTATTAGAAATGTTTCGTTGAAAGATGGAAGAGTTAAATAAAAAAATAGTCAAAAACTTACCAGAATGTAACCTCTAAAAAAACCTGAAAGAACCATCTAAAAAAAGAGAAAAAATGAACAGTTAGTAACTATTTATTAAACTAAAAAAGAAAAAAATAAAAATTTTACTTGCCGAATTCCCACATCCAAAGAGACTCAAAGAATTACCTAAAAAAAAGAACTAAACTGTTAATAATAGTTCGTTAAAATATTAAAAAAAA